CCGGAGAGTCTGCGCTGCGCCCTGGCCGTGGGCTGGTGCATCGAGCTGGTGAGAGCCCGGCCGCGGAACAAGGGGCACTGGAGTCCCACGGGGACCACCCACACCCCTGACCCAGTCTCTTGCAGTTCCAAGCCTTTTTCCTCGTGGCCGACGACATCATGGACGCGTCTCTCACCCGCCGGGGGCAGCTTTGCTGGTACAAGAAGGTGAGAGCATTTGGGAGGCTCCTGTGCACTGGGTCCTGTGGAGTCCAGGCGTTTTGTAACACCTCCCTGGCCTCCTGCTGCAGGAGGGGATTGGTCTGGATGCCATCAACGATGCCTTCCTCCTGGAGTCCTCTGTCTACAGGCTGCTGAAGAAGTACTGTGGGCAGCGGCCCTATTACCTGCAGCTGCTGGAGCTGTTCTTGCAGGTGAGCCTGGCCCCTGCTCCCAGCTCCCACGGATTTTTCCTGGGTCTGGGCCGTTTCTGGATGCTTGATGGCACGTGGATCTCTGACTGTTCCTTAAGTTCCTGGGCATCCTGCTCAACACACACCTTTCCTTCAGATTTGGACAGGAGCTGAAATGGGGCTTGGGGTTTCCATTGTGCTATGGGAACTTTTTGGGAGCAACTGTGTTAATAAATCCTTTCTTCCCTCTGCAGACTGCCTACCAGACTGAGCTTGGGCAGATGCTGGACCTCATAACTGCTCCTGTTTCCAAGGTGGATTTGAATCGCTTCAGTGAGCAGAGGTAAAGGCACAGAAGGGGACAGAGATAGGGTGGCTCTGCTTGCAGTCCCTTCCAGACTGTGCAAGAGAGACAACCAGCTTGCTGAAATGCTGCTGTCACCTACCAGACTTTGGAGATCAAGTCTTGCTGGCACTGTCAGAGCTCAAAACTGGTTGGAGGGAGGTGCTGCTTTTTTCCTGCTGGCTCTGATCTGCAGAGCCATGGTGGGAGGGGATGGTCTGGGCTTTGTCACTAAGTGTGGTTCCTCTGCTGCAGGTATAAGGCAATTGTTAAGTACAAGACAGCATTTTATTCCTTCTATCTGCCTGTGGCTTCTGCCATGTACATGGTGAGTTTTGTGGAAACATCTCAGGAGGGGCCTAACCCTTGGTATGAGGCTGTTGAGGAGGCAGGGGGGTTGGGAGATGGGAGAAGTAAGGGTGGAAGGCAGGTACTGGAAGGCTTTGTTCCTTTTTTTCCCCTCTTAGACTGGCATTGACAGTAAAGAGGAGCACGACAATGCCAAAGCAATCTTGCTGGAGATGGGCGAGTTCTTTCAGATCCAGGTAGGAGGTGGCTCCCTGTCCCACAGTGCTTGTAAGATGCTGGTTGTGGTGCTCATTTGTTTCCATCTTCATGCAGGACGATTACCTGGACTGCTTTGGGGACCCAGAGCTGATGGGGAAGGTTGGCACTGATATCCAGGACAACAAGTGTAGCTGGCTGGTGGTGGAGTGTCTGCGCCGGGTCACACCAGACCAGAGGAGGATCCTGGAGGTAACAGCACCAGGCTGACAGAAACCTTTTGAAGGGGGGGAGGTAGATGGTGTGGACTCCTTCCCTGAGGACACGGTGTAGAGGGAGTGTAGTGCTGTGACATATACCTGAAAAGCCATGTGCCACCCTGTGTAGCTGCCACATGGGGAGAAGGGTTGCTGGTTGTGAGCAGTGTAAGAGAGTGGCAGGGAAAGCAAGAAATGGCTACTGCCACACTTGGAATAAGCAGCTGCAGCAGTAAGCTGGGCATCAGCCTGACTTGTTCTGGTGTTTTCTCAGGAGAACTATGGCTGCAAGGAGCCCGAGAAGGTGGCAAAGGTGAAGGAGCTCTATGAGACTGTGGGCATGAGGGCTGCTTTTCAGGAGTATGAGGAGAGCAGCTACCAGCGCCTGCAGGAGCTGATCAGTCAGCACAGCAACCACCTCCCCAGGGACATCTTTCTTAGCCTAGCTCAGAAGATTTACAAGCGGCAGAAGTGATGGTGGGCCTGGCTGTGGACTGTGAAGTCTCTGCTGAGAGGGCCTGCAGGGATTGCAGCCCCCCTGCTG